ATTTTATTTATTTTCGGTTGAGAAGATTCAGGTTTTTTTTAAATAAAACAAAATTGCCACATGGTACAAATGTGGCAGCCACGTCAACTCTTAAAAGATCAATGGATGGAAAATGTAACGGAGGTATTATATTGAAACAAAATAGTAGGTGAGGTATGAAAGGGAAATGTTTTAAAGATGTTGTATGAGGTTGTAATAGACCTCAAACCTGAGGGAGTATTATGTAATTTACCCAATTTTCAAATAAAATACCAAACAGACCCTAAATTTTTAGTTCAAAAAATTTAGGCCCCATTTGATATTCAACTCAATTCTAATTTTTTTTTAACTCAATAACATGTTTTTGAGTGTCATGTAAAAAATTCTTGTTTGGTTTATTTATTCTCAAGAAGACAACTCAAAATCATAGCCTACTTCCAGAAAACTAGCTCTTTTGCTTTCTGAGTCCAATTCTTCTGCACCCAAAATTCTTTGTGGCATCTAGTGGCCTGCCTTATTACTTGACATCTGTCCACAAACCTAACCCGTCTAACTCTGTCAACTATTGATTAAAAATAAAATACAGAGTAAAAATGAACCTTAGTCACCAACACACCCAACCCCTCGTCGTAAACCAAATTGTAGGCCTCTAATCCAGTCCTAGTCTTCGAATTTCTATGAACATCGGAGCTTTGTTCTTAAATTTCTAAAAAAAAACAATAATGGGTCCAAATGCCGATGATGAGGGCGACACAGTGAGAGAGATAATGGGCCGTGGGTTCGAAAACAGAGATGTCATCATCTTCGAATTTGATTTCTCATGGTGGAGCCTGGACATTAGTTTCAGGTCAAGAACCAAAGCCCCGAGATCATTTGAGTCCTAGAACGATACCGCATTGAATCGTAGCCGAAAGAACTCAAAGCTCTAGGTGGGCCCCCTTTGACCCCGTGTAAACGAGTGAGCCCTGACTTGGCTGGACGTAGGCCAAGAGATGCCACGTGAATAGGTGGGTCTCTATTGGCCCCGCGTGAAAAGGTGAGCCCCAACTTGGCTCCACGTGGTCGCTGATGTGTGGAACTCCAAGTGTGACCTATAAAATGAGGTCTCACATGCGGGGGAGTGTTAGAATTCCTATGTCCCACATTGGCCAGAAGGCTTGAGAACAAGCCCTTTATATAGAATTACCTCACTTTAACTAACACCAAGACCTTTTGTATTAAATCCCCACACTTGATGGATTGAGCAGGTAGCTAAGTGGGGACAATATCGGTGTTGTTGAAGTGGGCTCATGACCCGTCTATTTGAAATTTAAGATGGTATCAGAGCCAAGGAACGGGCCTGTACATCCATGTGAACTGGTGGGTCCCATTTGAACCCGTGCAAATGGGTGAGCCCCGACTTGGCTCCACGTAGGCCAAGGGATGCCACGTGAATGGGTGGGTCCCCATTAATCCTGCGTGAACGGGTGAGTCCCGGCTTGGCTCCACGTGGTTGCTGATGTGTGGAACTTCACGTGTGACCTATAAAATGAGGTCTCACGTGCGGGGAAGTGTTAGAATTCATCTGTCCCACATCGCCCAGAAGGCTTGAGAACAAGCTCTTTAAATAAAATTATCTCACTCTAACTAATATCGAGACATTTTGTATTAAAACCTCATACCTGACAGATTGAGCAGATGGCCAAGTAAGGACAATATCGGTGTTGTTGGAGTGAGTCCATGACCCATCTACCTGAAAGTTAAGAGATGGGTTCTCTGTTTTTGAATTTCTCTATCATTTTTCTTCACGATGAAGTTCAATGTTTTCAATTCCGGTATTTAAATGGTGAGAGAGAGGAGGAGGAGGAGAGGGATGGTTGAGCATGGTGGTGGTCTGGGTTTTCACATTTCATTTTTTAGTTAATAGTGTTTAATGTATGGCTTGTGATGGACAAGTGTCAACCTCTTAGATCGACCATAAATAGGTTGTAGAGGGTTTTAGGTGTAGAAGATTTTCTTTTTGAAAATGTGTCAACCTCTTTGATAGGCCACAAAGGGATTGCAGAGGATTTTAGGTGCAGAAAATTTGATCTCTTGCCTTTAGTTGCTTCTTCCCTTTGTCCTCCCTCTCTCTTTCTTTTTCATATTCTTTCTGTGTCCTTACTCTCTGTCACAGCCTGTCCTAGAAAATAATTCTTGTTGACGTGAAAAGACGGGAATACCCTCGGACATTGAATGATATGTGTATGATATGTTTTGGTGTAAGTATTTGGGATTGGTGACCCAATTAGAACTAAGATTTTTCTTAGTTTTGGTTGGTGGCTTTTGGACCACACACACACCCACCTACCCAGTCTCTCTCTCTCTCTCCTTCCCGTGCGCTCTCTCTCTCAGACTCACTCTCTCTATTCTCTCTTGTACGGACACAACCAGAAGCCCTTGCAAACATGGCAAATAGAAGAAGAAAATGGTACCATTGTGTTCCTATGGTCCTCACGAGTTCAAAGGTACCAAATATAGGTAAGATTACCTTCGATTTCACGTCGAATCACAAAACCCGATTTGAGGTACTATTCATGCTCACGTAAAATGTTGATTTTTAGGGAATTTAAAGGACATAGGGAGCTTAAGGAGGTCCTTACGAAGCTCAGAGTACTTCGTTTGAAGATTTTGGACATCGGAATAATGAGAACGGAGAGTTTCAAATCTGGCCGGAATTATCGAGGCTTTTTCCATCCAATTTCCGACAAGTCGAAGGTCAAGCTAGGTACGGTTGTGTTCATCTTTGTGAGATCTTCATTTTGGTAAAAAGTACGTAGAAAATGGTGAAAAAATGAAGAAGAAACCATAGTTAGAAATTTTTCCAGTTTTTCGGCGCCGGCGATGGTCGCCGGAGTTCTGAAGAAGGAGACGACGGAATATTCCGTGAAGTCTGATGGAATATTTTGACGCCGTAAGTTATTTGGATGGATTATGTTAGGACTTAACGGAATATTCCTGACGGCGTTAACTAATGCCGTCAGTGTGCCTGGCATATGGCCGCGCGTGGGGGGCGCGTCTGGCCGTGCCATTGTTGACGCGTGGGGGCGCGTGAGGCTTCCAAAAATTTATCTAAAAATTTAGGGATGATCCTGAGGTTGTGTAGGTCACGGTGTTATATTCATATACCCAATTTGAGCAATATATGAGAAGTTATTACCTATTGTTGGTTATGTGCGTTAAATAACGTTTATTCGATTATTATGCCTATAGGTGAGGTCTATTCTCGGGACGAGCGTAATCAATCGAGGCTCGGGGGCTACGACCCATTGACATCTCAGTGAGTGGGCATTTATTTTCAATATATATATATATATATACTTGACGTTTTTCCCAGAAAACGTATTTAAAGGAAATGCAATTTAAATGCCATGCCATAAATGCCATGCATATACAATTATGTTTCGTACATGAATTGATGTGTAATACCTTATATATATATAAATGTGGTGCTGTGGAGGCACGGTAAGTTCAGGTAAGTTGTGTTTGGTTATGTAAATCATCGATGATGCGATATGTGATTGAGAAGCGTTAGCTCATAAACTTGCTCCAGGGTGATTGCGATTTAGCTAGAGAGAGTTGGCACATGCCTGTATATTATGTCACCTCCCGCACCATATGCTCACATTGGATCCAATTAGGTGCACAATCTTGTCGTACAGACCACTATAAGTGGTTCCAACTCGTAGGTGACTAACGTATTATCGCACAGCTAGCATTGAGAGAGTAGAATTGAGCATAATTATATTACACCCAACCTTGTCGTACATACTCTTTTCAGTGGTTCCGACTTATGTGCAGTATATTGCCGTATAGGTCATTATAGTGACTCCGGCTAAATTGACTATTGAGCTATAAACTTAGCCGTACATACCACTTCAGGGGTTCCGGCTAACATATCATATTTCTATGAAACTATTCTTACCTGAATTGTGTACTTTGTTATATATTGGCATGGCATGCATATGTTTATGAATGTGTAAAGCATGAATTGAATTGAAATGATATATTTATATATTTAATTATGTATTCTAATTTCTAGGAAAATAATCATATACTTGTTTTACGGCGAGGGGTTAGTATATTCAAAGGAAAATAAGGTTTTCGTGTAAATGTGTTTTACTGACCCACTTAACTTTGTGTTTTTGCCCCTCTAGGTCTTAGATAGCAGAGTTTGGTGGCCACGAGGAATCCAACGGTGTTCTGACAAAATCCGAAAATGTAGGATTCACCTTCGGGTGTTGTATTTAGCAATCGGCCGCTTGACTGCAACTAGACTATCTTCTTGCTCTGAAAGTGTATATATACACTTAAATCCTCACTAGCATCCTTTCTTATTGGGATTGTTAGTTGATTGGTTTTAAATTGTTAGTATTTCTCTTACTTTTTATCACTTCCGCCTTGTGCTCATGGCTACGTCACTCTCACGTGACGGCCAGCACGTCTCGACTTCGGTCGGGGTGTGTCACTCTCTCTCTCTCCTCTTCAATCTCTTCTCTCACTCCTATCTCTTATAATTCCAAATAAAATTGAGAAACCCAAAGAAATCGAGCAGTCTTCGATGCGATTGTCATTTAATTCCAATAATTTTTATTTTCTTTTATAGCTTCATGTATCTAGTATAACTACCCAGCTTTGTTCCAACGAACCCACCACAGAGCGGTTTTCTCCGCGGTTCTCTGGTTTGAGATGAATTTCATACTCATATTTCATACATCACCACATCTTGAGTTTGATTCCTGTCGCTGGTGAATCATATGATAATGATCAGGAAGAGGTTGAACTGCCTTTGTAAATCTTTTCACTTCCAAAATGGTGAACTACCGTGATTAAGCCAATTACACCTGAATTTCACCAAAATATTGGTTCATTAATAAGAACTAGAATAGAATACGAGGTTTTTCCTCTTATCAGAGACCAATAAATGTATCTGCCGAAAACAGCCCACTAGCTTGATCAAACTAAGCACAACAAATTTAGAGCTACCAACCCTCCCATAGAAAGACTACAAATTTTCCCCACAAACTCGTATTGAAGAACTCCGACAGCAATGATGTTAGCGGATGCAATTGGTGTACATATCCTGGTTAAAACTACCGTTTAGGATCGTTCAAATGTAAATCCCACCTGACATCGCCACAACTACCGTAGATTAATTACTAAGCAGGTCACTGTAAAGACAGGACCTGGACTTTCAATGTATATTAATTAGTTATTGGAATTATATTACATATTTAATCGTAAGATATTATAACACGTCTTATTCCCTTGCGAGAACTGTTGCCAACTGCATTGAGGCTTCTTGACATTATCACCTCGACCGGATTCTCGAAGTTACAATCCAGAAACCAACTCTTTCAAAGATGTGAAAGGTGAGTCGTATTCGTTGACAACAGCATCTCTCCATACAGCCATTCCTGTTGGGAGAAAAATATCAGACAGAGCTCTTTATGTTCAACGAGTAAGCAACCTAAGCATATTTTAAATTTCATTATTTTTTTCTTTGTAAATACATTTATTTAGGGCGGGGATGCTGTATAAATTGATAGTACTACACTGAAGGGACAAAGAAACAAACCTATCCACAAAAACAAACCAGTTGTCGCTGCTAAGAAAAATTCCTTGCTGATAATGTTGAACCTGAAATTAAACACAAATAACCCAACGTTACTTAGTAGAGATCAAAATTCCCACCAAAATGAACATTAGAAAATCCAGTTGAAGAAGACGAACCAAAAATCAGAAACCATTACCAATACAAGCACACAATATTCCCATATCCATAAAAGAAAGAAGCCCAAGTAGAACCAGTGAACCTGCAGTCATTGTTGATAGTTATTCTTACTAAAACTCACGCGAGTGTGTGTGTATATATATATATATCAATTATCAAATCAACAAATATTTAGTTCAACCGTCAAAGATGTCTTGCAGCAGTTTAAGAAGGTCACTGAGATAGATAATTACCAAATTGACCAAAAAAAAAATAAAGAAAGATAATTACCACATCAAATCACGAATAAAAAGTGCGCGTGGGATCATAAGTCCATTTCCAATCATTGCAAGCAACATCGAGGAAGCTGATAAACCTTTGATATTGTCAGGATTTAGGAAATTTGTCCACTGAACAGGAGGCATTAATGGTGGTCAGATTAATGAAAAAAATTACCAACAGAAATTCTAAAATAGTACCATTTGTGAAACCGGCATCCACATGAAGAGAAGTGTAGCTGTCCATCCAGATATTGCTCCAACAAATTTTATGCCACCTTCAGAGAGTTTCCCCATTCGAGCCTGCAAATATTAGCAGCTCCATGTCTAAAAAGATGCAAAAAAGAATGACTTTGCATTTCTATCTTCATTTTGCAAAGAAGAAAAAGTTTTAAAGGAAAAAAAAGTAGTTCTCATTTCAGATGATAAATACAGAACAACTCATTCTAAAGACAAGAGGTTAACTTTAAAACAGTTTCCCATTAACCTTAATGGATTATGTGAAGATTCAAGTAATAGAATAAAGGTTTTTTTGAGAGTAAACAAAACTTACCATAACAATTTCAACCAAAAAATAAAAAAAAATCTTACCATAACAACAGCCACCACAGCTACAACAAAAGCCAATGCCCCAGGCAAGATACTGTTGGGTAGATATGGAACAAACGTAGACCACATAATCTATAATCATAATTGTTGACAAAAGATTAGTAAAATTGAGCAACTTTTCAGCGCCCTGCTTACCAATATGGAAAAAGACATGACTTTTAAGAGAGAGGGAGAGAGAGAGAGATCACTTGAGGAAGAACCGATAGCCCGCCAACAGTAATAAAGTCCTCCCAGAAGCGCCAGAGTCCAGCATTAAGCCAACCAAAGTAATTCAAGAAATTCAAAACAAGACCAGTTACGACAACAATGGAGGTAATGACAAAGTAAGGTAGAGGCATCGCATCTGCCATGGAAAGCTGTGCAAAAACCACATATAAGGAAATTACACCCAGTGTCTGAACCACAATGGCCTCATTCTCCCTCTTCTTCGCAAAATATGAAAGCAGGGAAAGGTTTCCAAGCAAACCGGTAAACATTCCCTGCATTTACAACATTCCTCCCTTGCTTAGGCTACTATGGTTGATTATTTTCTAATATAACCAGAAAATATTCATGTTCTAAGCAATAAGAAGCCTCCTCAATCCTCAATCGTCATTAATAAACTTATAAGGGGGTGGCAAATTAGCAATAGTGTGTTACCAACTTACCATCCATGGGACTGCCAAAAGGGCAGCTTTATTTCCTGCCAGAAGATTTTGGGCATTGAGGTAGATTTGAGGCATTTGCAGTAACAGAAATGGGAGATTTGATGCGCCGGAGAATTTTGCTGTCCACGAATTCCATTGCTCGAAACTAGTTTTGCTGCTCGAGGATTTCACTGATCCCTTTTCCCGAGAATGGGGAAAACAATTTGTTAATTTCAATTTTGAGCAATCAGAATGTATGTTAATGTTTGAGTTTGAGTTTGACCCAAATCAAGGGGCTGACAGTCACACAGTATATGATATTTATCAATTAAGACCAAATAACCAATGATAAACTAATTATTGGAGTTTCAAATCTATGAACATCATGTCATGTCAGAGAGAGAATCAAACAGTTATACATACAACGGGTAGATTGTTATCATAATATATGCATCGCATCGCTTAAGTTACAGATGAGGAGATGAACAGAGAGAGAGAAGATAGCACAATAGTAGTACCTGGTGAAGAGGGTGAGGGACGTCGGAGTCAAGAGCGCTGAGAGTTGAGCGGCGCTGCAAAGGCAAACGCAAAGGGAGGGGATGGTAAGATTTGAACAAGAAGCATTGGCCTTGGCCCGCGGACGAAGAGACGGAGAGAGTGTTGCTGTTGGTGTTGTGTTGGATCGACGAGGAGGAGGAGGAGGAAGAGGCGGGAAAGGATTTCAGAAGATGATGTTGTTGCAGTCGAGGATGAGGAGGACGACCAGGTGTATACGAGGAGTACGGCACCACCATTAGACTCTCGGCCATTGATATTTGATTTGATTTGATTTACACTTTCCAGCACTCACTCACTGGATCTTGGGGAATTTGGGAAATTTGGAAAAATTGGAAATGGAAGCTTATTAACTTGCAGCGTCGAGATTGGGCATTTGTGCGTATCTCCAGATGACACGTGGAAAGTTGTATTTGCTTGCTCAACCTCATAAACTCATGAAACTCATGATATTGTCCAATCCAATCCAATCCAATCCAGTCCAACGTCCATGTGATATTTCCATGTGCGTGGAGAGCAAGCGCAAAACGCAAGTTTTAAGCAGGCAAGAGGAGCTAGATCACATAAACTTTTGCAGATCCAAAATTTCTGAATTAGTAATCATCTGAACAATTTTATCTCAAATTTCAAGATTCTGAAATACTTAAAATAGATTAGAGGTAGCCGTGTAAGGTATCCCGCATTAATTTTGTTAGGAATGACACTTCACTACCTCAAATATGTCATTATGACATTTAGCATCTAATTTCTGAATTAAACTTTTGTTTGTCACAAAATACCACTTACCATGAAGTCGTTCAAATTACCAAACCAAGTTAGAGAGATGCAGAGAGTGTATAGAGTTCAATATGTAAATTACAAAACCATATCGAAGTAGAAAGTTATTTCGAATTTCAAACTTGTCATTTGATCACTCATATATTTCATGTATTTATACCATCAATTTCTAAAGTCTTTGTGATGTTTTTGTGTTAAAATGGTTACATTTTACCTTATCTTGTGTTAGTGTGCAGTTAAATTTGCTTTAGGATCAATTTCACGCAAAAAGGAGAAAATGAAATAATAAAAACAAACAAAAGAATTGGAAGTCGAGCTTGTCTCCACGGGTGGTGTTTGAAAAAGAAATCAGAAAGCAAAGTGGGGGAGTGAGGATTAAGTGGAGCACTAGGAAGTGGGATGAGTTGGCCTTCCACTTGTAGCCTTGGTGCTTTGAAAAATCATTGCCTTATTGTTTAAGGCAACAGACGGCAAGATAGAAGAAGAAAAGGCAGATGGCACACGGAAGAAACATATAGAGGGAGAGCAGAGAAAAAAAAGAAGAAAGGGCACACGAACAGAACATAGCAGAGAAGATGAAGGGGAACGAACAGAGAATCAGAGAGGAACATAGCAGAAAAATAAGGGAGCCGCAGCTCCACATGGAAGGAGGATCGTAGAGCATCAGGAGATAACCTTCTTGTAAAAAAGGGTTGTCTCTTTCTTTGATTCTTCATGGATAATTTCTTATGTATTCAAATAATTATGTGTAACTAATTTCTTTTCGCTAGAGTGAAGCCATGAGCCGCAACATGATTACGTAGATTTCTCTTTCAATTGCTTAAGTGTTGTTACATGCTTGCTTTGATATTTTCAATCTCTAAATAAAACTATCTATGTGTCTTGATGATTGATCACCATTATGATGCTTAGAAAAGTCATTGGATGCAATTTTGAACGAATGTCACGTTAAAATTGGTTATGCTTCTTGTGATTGAGGATTGTAATTTCTTCTAAGGTAAATATCATACTCTTAGGGATTACATGGTTTGACAAAGGGATTTTCATCAAGATTAATGAATCATTATGTTTATATTTAATCCAAATGTCATGGATAAATTGCATGTAGTGGTATGCGTTTTAACTTGAATGTCACAAGTAAAACATACACAAGGAAAACCCAACCTTCAAAGCATATGTGTTTTCGATTACTTAAGCAATTGGAAGAGCTACGTAGGAGTGCTGTTGGTAAATGTTGAACTCTAGCATATTGTCAATCTATTTTTCTTCAATCATTTATTTTATCTTGAATTTTCTCATTTACTTGTTTTGTTTAGTTGAATCATTATTTCTATAAGCCATTTTTTTTAAATGTTTGTTTAAGTCACGTACAATAGTATTTAGTTTTGTTGAATTAGAGTAGTTCTTAGAGTTAACTAAGTTAAATACACAAAAGCTTATAAATTGTTTATACCAGTCCCTGAGGAGATCGACCTTGCTTGAGCCATTCTATACTACAACACTTGTTCTCTTGCAAGAATTTTCTATGGTTTAACCCTTTGTTTTACAAGTGGTAAAATCGCTATCAAGAAATTGGTTGTCGGGGACTGTGCCAATAGTTCCCGAGCTTTTGTGTTTATTTTTCTTATGCTTATGTTTATGTCTTACTTTTATTAATCATTAAAAAAACAGCAATTAATTTAGTTGAGTTTCGATCTTTGATTAAGTACAATGGATGTGTGGTGTGAGATTTTTGTCTTTGTTTAACTAACTAGTGGTTGCCAATTTGCATAAACTGTGTTTTTTATTCATCTAGGTTTACTTACTTTCTTTTCCTTTTTGTTGTTTAGTTAGTTTCTGTTAAGTTTTATTTTATTTTACTTTTATTTTTATTGTGGCTTAATATTTCTGTTGTTTGTTCAGGTGTAGTATATGGTGGTTGGAACAAGGTCCAAGAATCAAGTGCTTATTCCTTACGATCCTGAGAAATGCAAGGAAGTTAGCTAGAGAAAAATATTTAGCACAAGATTCCAACCTTGGTGATACTTTTCTTAAGGATTTGTTCCGTGATCCTAAGAACAGCACATCTATTTTCCAACCTTTGGCACCAGTTGCACACATGGCCCTAGCCTTACCTACAACAGGTCAACCTTTAAGGAATTCATTAGCAGCGAGAGTCAATGCAGTGCCAAGGTGCATTATATATCCAGATGTGGAAGATGGGACAACCTTTGAAATCAAACCTCACATCCTCAACATATTGCCATCCTTTCATGGGTTGCCAAACAGTGATCCCAACATGCATTTGGTTGATTTTATTGAGGCATGTGACAACACCATAATCAGAGGTTTCTCTTATGAAGCTATCAAGTTACACTTGTTCCCGTTCTCTTTGAAGGACAAAGCCAATGCGTGGCTGCATTCTCTGCCTGCCAATAACATTACAACATGGATAGAATTGCAATAAAAATTTCTCAATAAGTTTTTTCCTTCTTCCAAGACTCTTGCACTCAAGAAAGAGATATTGGCTTTCGCTCAAAAGCCAAACGAGTCTTTCCATGAAGCTTGGGAACGGTATAATGAGATGTACACAAAATGTCCTCATGCTAGGTTTGATTCTAACATTCAAATGAACATATTTTATGATGGTCTCAATGCCACCACCAAGAGTCAAGTGAATGCATCTGCTGGAGGGTCACTAATGTCAAAATCAGTAAGGGAAGCATTTGAGTTATTTGATATGATGGCTTCTGAATCCCAACAATGGACAGAAGAACAAACACAAAAGAAGGGAGTTTTTAAGATTTCTCAGAGTTCTCCTAATGTTTCTGCTCAAATTGCTAAAATGGAGAAGAATTTTAATGCCAAGTTTGCTGCCTTAATGTAGGTCTCTTCCATGCCCAATGCCCAAGAAGCTTGCATCATTTGTAGTGAGACAACTCATGACATCACTCAATACCCCAACAAGGATAGCTACCCTGAGTTTGTGCAAGAGCATGTGAATATGGTGAATAATTTCATTAGACCCAGAAGTGACCCTTATTCCAATACATATAATCCTGGGTGGAAGAACCATCCCAATCTTAGTTGAGGTGGCAACCAACAGCCACGTCAATACCAACAGTCTTACCAATCAACTAGTGAGACTAAGAAACCATATCTTGAAGATCAAATGTCACAGATAGCTCAACATATGTCCGCTCTCTCTAATAGCACCAACAATTTTGTCCAATCCACACAAACTAGCATTTAGAATCTCACGGCATCAGTGGGAAATTTGGAGACTCAAGTTGGACAGCTTGCTACCATGTTCAATGAAAGAGAGAAAGGAAAGTTCCCGAGCCAATATGAGCAAAATCCAAGAGGGATAGAGCATTGCAAAGTAATACAGACATTGAGAAGTGGCAAGAGCTATGACAACAAAGAAGTGGTGCACCACGAAGCCAAAGTGGAAGAAGAAGAGCTTACTGAAAGTGCACTGTTAGTTGCAAAGTCTCGATTATAGGCTATTTCTGCAGCAGGTATTTCAGATCCTAGTGCAAGTGACAAAGTGCAATCTCGACCCAACTTTGATGTAAACAAGGAAAAAGGTCTTGGTAGTTTATTTGCACCTTATGACAAGCCACCATACAAGCCACCTTTGCCATTTCCACAACGACAGCAACAACGTTCCAAGGATCAACAATGCATTGAATTCATGAAGACGTTGGCTAAGGTTCAAATTAATTTGCCTCTATTAGATGCTATTAAACAGATCCCATCATATGCCAAATTTCTGAAGGAGCTATGTTCTAAAAAGAAAAAGTTCTTGGAATACGAGAAGGTGATTTTAACTGAGCAATGCAGTGTTGTCCTTTTACATAAGCTACCACCCAAGAAGAAAGATTCGGGGAGTTTCACTATCTCTTGTACTATTGGTAATCTTTATTTTCATAAAGTATTGATTGATTTAGGAGCAAGTGTTAACCTTATGCCTTATTCTGTTTTTCAAAAATTAGGTGAAGGAGAACTCAAGCCCACATCTGTGAGTCTTCAATTGGCAGATAGGTCTGTGACTTATCCTTTGGGTATTCTGGAAGATGTGATAATTAAAGTGGATAAATTCTATCTCCCAGCTGATTTCATTGTACTTGACATGGAGGAAGACAAGGAAGTGCCTCTCATTTTAGGCTGATCGTTCATGGCCACCGCCCGGACACTTATTGATGTGGAAGCAGGTACTTTAACCTTAAGAGTGCAAGGAGAGTCTGTTGTATTCAAACTTTTTGAAGCTATCAAGCGTCCTCTCGAACTTGAAGAGTGTTTTCATGTTGATATTTTGGATGGGATTGTGCATGCAAACTTTGCCTCACGATCATCTAATGATGAGCTGTTAACTTGCCTCACCAACCATGATGCTACTTTATCTATGGAAGAAAATGTGGTGGACGTCATTGCTGCATTGGATAGTGCACCAATTCATAATCCAAAGTGGCGACATGTTTATGAAAGCCTTGGAGTGCCTAAGCAGCCCACTATTCCTTCAAATGAGCAAGCTCCGAAGTTAGAGCTCAAGCTACTACCGAGCCACCTCAAGTATGCTCATCTCGGGGTGAACGAAACCTTGCCTGTTATTATTGCTGCTGATCTTAATGACACGGAGGAAGACAAATTACTAAGAGTTCTTCGCAAGTATCAAGATGCTCTGGGGTGGACACTTGCTGACATAAAGGGCATTAGTCCAGCTTTGTGCATGCATAGGATTTTTATGGAGGCTAGGACTAAACCAATTGTTGAAGCTCAAAGACGTCTAAATCTGATCATGAAGGAAATTGTAAGAGTTGAGGTGATGAAGTTACTCGATGCAGGTATCATTTATCCAATCTTGGATAGCAAATGGGTGAGCCCGACTCAGGTGGTTCCAAAGAAAACTGGTATTACTGTGGTGAAGAATGATAACAACGAGCTTGTGCCTACAAGGATGACCACCGGATGGCGAATGTGTGTTAACTATAGAAAGCCCAATAACAGCACTAGAAATGATCATTTTCCGCTGCCATTCATTGATCAGATGCTCGAGAGACTAGCTGGTCATTCTTTCTATTGTTTCTTAGATGGTTATTCAGGGTACAACCAAATTCCAATTGCCCCTGAGGATCAAGAGAAGACAACGTTTACATGCCCTTTTGGTATATTTGTATACAGACGAATGCCATTTGGATTGTGCAACGCTCTTGCCACTTTCCAACGTTGCATGATGAGTATTTTTTCTGGAATGGTTGAAAATATTGTCGAGGTTTTTATGGATGACTTTTCTGTTTTTGGTAATTCTTTCGATATATGTTTGGATAACTTGCCTTTGGTTTTGGAAAGATGCAGGGAGACTAATCTTGTGTTAAATTGGGAGAAATGCCATTTTATGGTTAAGCATGGCATTGTGCTAGGACATCTAATTTCAAGCAAAGGAATAGAGGTCGACAAGGCAAAGATTGAGGTGATCGTCAAATTACCACCACCAACGTCTGTGAATAATGTGAGATCTTTCTTGGGACATGTTGGTTTTTATCGAAGATTCATCAAGGATTTTTCCAAAATTAGTCGTCCTCTTTGTAATTTACTTGCTAAAGATGCTTGTTTTGATTTTAATGCAGATTGTCTTGATGCTTTCAACAAATTGAAGGATATTCTCACATCAGCCCCAATTATAACAGCTCTAAATTGGACCCTTCCTTTTGAGCTCATGTGCGATGCTTCCGATTACGCTGTGGGTGCTGTCCTTGGTCAGCGACGTGACAAGCTCCCCCATGTTATATATTATGTCAGCCGCACTTTGAATGATGCTCAGCTGCATTATGCCACTACGGAAAAAGAATTACTTGCAGTGGTATTTGCTCTTGAAAAGTTTCGATCGTACTTAATTGGTGCTAAAGTCATTGTGTATTTTGATCATTCTTTTCTCAAGTACTTATTGTCTAAAAAAGAGGCAAAACCACGATTGATTCGATGGGTCCTTCTCTTGCAAGAGTTTGATTTGGAGATCTTAGATAAAAAATGACATGAGAATGTTGTGGTGGATTATCTCTCAAGATAAGTAAATGCAAGCACTGATGAAGCAGATTCATTGCCCCTGCAAGAGAGCTTTCCAGACGAGCAACTTCTAGCAGTTACTCATCAAGTACCATGGTATACTGACATCACAAATTATTTGGCATCTGGAGAAAAACCATCAGAGTTCAGTTACCAACAAAGGAAAAAGTTCCTCTCCACTGTAAAACACTACTTTTGGGATAAGCCATACCTTTTCAAGCATTGCCAAGATCAAATCATTCGTCGGTATGTCCCCTTAGAAGAACAAGAAAGCATTTTGAAGTTTGCTCACCACTATGCATGTGGTGGTCATTTTGGACCAAGAAGGACAGCGGCCAAGATCTTACAGAGTGGTTTCTTTTGGCCATCTTTATTCAAAGATGCATACCTATGCTACCAGGCTTGTGATAAGTGTCAAAGAGTTGGAAATCTTTCTCAGAGAAATGAGATGCCCCAACAAAGTATTTTGGTGATTGAACTATTTGATGTTTGGGGTATAGACTTCATGGGACCTTTCCCTTCTTCATATGGCAATCTTTACATCTTGGTGGCGGTTGATTATGTCTCTAAGTGGGTGGAGGCAATAGCTTCTCTAACATGCAAAAGTTCTGTGGTGTTGGGTTTCTTGCAGAATACTATTTTTCCCCGATTTAGAGTACCTCGTGCTATCATCAGTGACGAAGGTACGCATTTCTTAAACCGCACCATGGCTACCCTTTGTGCCAAGTATCATATTCACCATCGCATAGCCACCCCATACCATCCACAGACATCTGGACAAGTTGAAGTATCTAATCGGGAGCTCAAGAGGATTCTTGAGAAAACTGTTAGTTCATCTCGAAAGGATTGGAGTTTAAAGCTTACTGATGCTTTGTGGGCATATAGGACAGCTTATAAGACACCAATTGGGATGTCTCCTTTTCGTTTGGTGTATGGGAAAGCTTGCCATCTGCCTATGGAACTTGAGCACAAGGCATATTGGGCTATTAAGCACCTCAATTTTGACTACCAGGCAGTTGGAGAGAAGCAGAAGCTGCAGTTGAATGAACTGGAAGAAATAAGGAATGATGCTTATGAGAATACAAAGATTTACAACGATAAGACCAAGAAATTTCATGATGCTCACATCCTTCGTAAAGAGTTTCAACCGGGTTAGAAGGTTTTGCTTTTTAATTCGAGACTGAAACTATTCCCAGGAAAGCTCAAATCACGTTGGAATGGTCCATATCGTGTTGTACATGTCCATCTTCATGGGGCTGTGGATATCCAAAACATGCAAAATGGTTTTGTCTTCAAAGTTAATGGACATCACTTGAAGTTATACAAGGAGTCTCCATATGATCTTGCTAAAGATTCCATCACTTTGAAGGAACCTGTTATTTGAATCAAATTGCCAACAGGATGTCTAGCTCTAGACAGTAACTAAAGCGCTTCTTGGGAGGCAACCCAAGCTTTCTATCTTTCATCTTTATTTTGAATAATTTTAAATGTTCTTGTTCTGTTTTTCTCTTGTTTTCTGGTTTGTGTGTTTAAGTCCTACTTTTGTTCCCTTATGCAGGTAATGATTTTGCAGTCTCTACCACAACTTCTTGCAAAGTTTCTTAATCTCACGGGTTACGCACACATTTGTTATGCATAATGGGACGTGTTGAAACAAGTTTGGGGATGATTTGGAATTCTACCATGGAACAAAAATGCATTTTTACTGCTGCTCTCCTCGCCTACACAAATTGGTGTATTCTTTCCTTTTCTTTTTGTGTATTGATTTCATTTTGTATTTCTTTCCTTCCATTTTTATGTCTTATTGTTAAAAATTCCTTTCATTATCATTGGGGACAATGCTATAATTAAGTTTGGGGGTGGAAATATATTTCGTTAGTTTACTTCATGTTTAAAAAAAAAAAATTGCTTTTTTGTTGTTGTTTGTAGCTACTTCTAAATTCAATGATGATATTTGATCTTAATTTCCTTCTTACTTTCAAGAAGTCTAAGTTCTTTTCGTTGTCTTTGTGTTAACTATGATTTCCAGCAATCAACTTGAAAAATAAATGTGCCTAGTCTTGTCAATGTGAAACTTGAGCATGATTTAACGTTTCATATGTGAATCATGTGAGATTTGTAAACCTTGTGAGTTTTTGAGCCTTTACATGATTGAACCATTATGCATCAATCTCATTCCTTCTTGTGCGTATGATCTCACTGTACATGTATCTCTAGAACTTGCTTTATACTTCTCGATTCATTAATCAATTCATGTAATAACTTGGAAGTGATATAGGCCATCTTTGGATCGTTTGAGCCTTTCATGCCTACCTTATATGCTATGTTTATCCATAGTAGCCCGTTGAGCCTTTAACTAAGCCATTTCTTTGTTAGCCACATCTCTTTACCTTGCTCCGATATTGGAGTTGAGCCCATACACAGAAATCGATTCCTTATTGTTTTGAGAAAGTATTACATGGGTTGTGCTCTTGGGGGTTTCATTTATGTAGAAAGATGGATGGAGCATGTGTATTACAATGAAATGTGAATTTGATGGGTGATGTAGCTTTTGCAGATTTATGCATAGCTTTGCAGATTTGTGTTTAAAAAAAAAAAAGAAGAGAAAATTGGAGAGTGTTGATTTGTTGAAAATGTGTCTGCAGAGTATAAATTTTCTTTTGAAGTTGAATTTGGGGAGTAACAGTTTCTCGAGGTTTTATTATTTTGCTTCCAATTTGAGGTGGTGTGATATTGAGGTGTTGGAAAACTACTAAAGTGTACTTTCTCAAAATTTTTGATTTCCATATCCTTTCTTTCATTAGCCTATCACCTTTAGCCCCATTACAACCGTAATAAAGTCCTATTGATCCAAGGTATTACTTAAATATTGATAGCGAGTTAGGTGGACAAGCAAGCATATGGCGGCATGTACAATGAGATCATTTGAGTGAAACACATTAACTGAAACATATGAGTGAATGAGCGTATGTCTTGTGAGAAGCTCACATGTTTGCATATGGTGATTTAAAGGAGCTTGGAATTTCATTGACATGGCTAGCTCACACATGACATTTCAACGTTTTGTTTGAAGGAAATTTGGTTAACTATTGGATGATGTTTTGAGCT